GGGACCATACTTTTGACAATCCCCCACATGCAAGGCCTGAGATGATTAGGGACTTTGAAGGCTACACGGGCCAAGGGTTTAGGTTTTGGGATTCAAGGTTTAGGGTTTAGCGGGGGCCTGGCAAACCCTAAACCCTAAACCAAACTCAGTAGATTCACAAGTGCTGAAGTGAAGGGAGGGGTGCGGATCTCTGCAACCAACTTAGGCTACGAGCATCAATGCACTCTGGCGCTCCTGGAAGCCGTGAAGCCGCCTCCTACCCCAAAATCCAATTAGGGTTTAGGGTTTAGGGTTCAAATCTCTAAATGCTAGCCTGACCCCCTTCAGACCTTAAACAAGGTATGAATAGGCCCCATATACTGCACGAATGGTAGTTTCCCAAAATGGGGGGACCCCCAATATAGCCCCCCAAACAATACGACCTCTATTATAAGGACCCCCCAAAATGATACCCCCCGTTTCAGGAAACTATAATGGTCTCCTATATGATCCCCTATATAACGCACCTTTAAGTAGTTTAGACACTTGTGCATATAAGCCTCAGTGATATAATAGTTTGCATGTTCTTCGCCACTCCATGAACCCTACAAGGGTTCAGGGCTCAAGGTACAAGATGTTGGAACCTGACCCTAAACCCTAAACCCTAAAAAACCTAAACCCTAAACCCTAAACACTAAACACCCTAAACCCTAAACCCTAAAAACCCTAAGCCCTAAACCCGAAAAACCCTAAACCCTCGACCCTAAGCCCTAAAGTCCGTCATTCCTTGCGCTTCACCAGCTTGGGAGGTGGTCGAAGCAAAGGATTGGCCGATGCCTTGCTGTCAGTACTTTGGGTTAAGGGTTTAGGGTTTAGGGTCCGCCAGCGCAGCGGGCGCCCTGGCCAGTTTATGGGTCAGCTGTCTTTCAGGGGAATGTTTCTGAAACCCGAATGGTGGACCTGGACCTTTTATCCGTTTCGCGCTTCTGGCGGCGAAAAAAGGCTTTCTGGACCCTTTTCGTTTAAAGCCGGATGGTGGACCTGGACCTTTTGTGCGTTTCGAGCGAAAAAGAGTTTTCGACCTGGACCTTTTTTTCGTTTGTGCCTTCTGAAGAGGGTCAAGGCCGCAGTTTCGGAGCTGTTCTTGGGCTTTCTGGCAGACGCTCGGCCACCAAGCAAATTCAGCCTTTTGAGCCAAATTTTCGCCTTTCTGGGCCTTTGGGAGCCGGATTTCTGGTTTTGTGTGGGTTTTGGATCCAACAGGCATAAGAAGCCTTCAAAGACCTAAAAGGCAAACAAATTGGTTCCCGAAAGGCAACAATTTGTCTCAAAGGCACAAAAACTCCAAAATCTGGATCCCAAAGGCACAAAATTGCACAGAAAAGCACAAATTTGGCTCCAAAAGGCGCACAATGCCAAAATGTGGCTTAAAAAACACAGAACTTGGTTCAGCTTGCTCAGATTTTATTGTATAAGATTTATGGGTTTGTTGTTTGCGGGTATGAACTTTACAGCATTCCAGTGCTTAACAGGAAATGGAGGCATGGATCCCTGTAGCAGTTATGAGAAGTCCCAGTATATAGTCCCCCCCCCTTAAGTATATGGGGTTTTATTGGGGTTGTATAGGGATAATGGAAAAGAAAATGGAAACTACTATATTGTAATGGGGTCTATTTGGGGTTATAGTACCCCCTTAAGTAGATAGAATATGGGGTATATGGGGATCTTATTATAATATACCCTAAAGCCATATTCTATCTACTAAGTGGGACTATAGCCCCTTATAAACGTTCCTTTAATCCATTCGTTGGTTCCCTAAGCAAGAAGACATTTCCACACGGGCTATCGGGTACAGTGCAGGGACAGGCCCCCTGCTTACGTTGTTACCCACAAATCCCAGAACTACTATTTACGGTACTCATCTTGCTTGGGTGCTCCCCCTGTCAGCGTAATATCTTGCCTAGCTCGACAAGGCATCGCAAATTGAACCTTGGTCACTTCTTGTTTAGTCTAAACACGTACTCGCCCCCAACACATGTAGCAGCCCCTGTGGTATATCACATGCATTTTGAGACACATGTCATGTTCAGTTTCGTGTAGCGGTGCTTAAAATCGGGTAGAATTTCATTGTGAGCGTATCAAAGCTAGGGTCTACCCGATGGAGCTCCACGGCTTCTGAAAAAGAGATGCCTATAGGAGCCCTAGGTGTGCATAGAATGATTTTCCGCTTGCTTACTGGTTTTCAGTTGGAGGGAATATTGTTCCTATATAATATATTCTCTTATTCCCTACTAAGATGGGTTTCGGGAACAACGACAAATATTCACCTATTGTATGCGTGATCTCCCTAAATCCTAAACCCTAAATCCTAAACCCCAAATCCTGAACGACCACCCATGTTGTCGTTCCTCTGAGGCCGACGGCCGCCTCTTCATCCGCTACCCTGGCCGCCTCCTCCTCCATGGCAGCCTAGGAGCAGGCTTTGACAGGGGCGGTATGCAGGGTCTAAGGCTTAAGATTTAGGATTAGGGTTTAGGATGAAGGGTTTAGGGCTTAAGATTTAGAGTTCAGGGTTTAAGATTCAGGGCTAAGGGGCTGGGTAAAGGATTCAAGGCTTAGGGTTTAGGATCTGGGTTTAGGGCATATAGGGTGAAAGTCCTTGCAGCGGAGAATCAAACAGAAGGTTGAATGGAAAATGACAGGCACGCCACGGTTATGTAGGCATCTAGAGAAAAGGCGAAGGATATGGAATTGCTTAGGGTTTGAGGTGTGTGTGTGTGTATGCTTGAATGGTGCCCGAGCTTTTTTCCAAAATGCTTCCTTATGCAACATTAAGGAAAACTACTATATGCTTCAAAATTACTGATCCGTGGTGAGCTGAAGGGCAGATGTATCATCTGGAACATTAGTGGGCGCGGCCATGGAAAAGACAGACTGGCGATGGTGGTACTCTTCCTCCGGGTAGAACCTTTGCGCTAATGCCGCAAAAAAACACCAGCGGGACATGTGCTTGTGTGGTACAAATCCAAATAATGTTGGACCCGCTTTAATATGCCCGGCCCCCC